GTAGGTATGTAGGTAGGGTAGGTAGGTAGGTAGGCAGGCAGGTAGGTAGGTAGGTAGGTAGGTAGGTAGGTAGGTAGGTAGGTAGGTAGCTAGGTAGGTAGGTAGGTAGGTAGGTAGGTAGGTAGGTAGGTAGGTCCATCAGTCCAAAGTTCGTTAGAGCTCTGATCGGAAATGTTGGGCGTCCCCCTCCAAATGACGACCTGATTTGACAAGGACCACGGTCCAGGGTGCCAAGCCGGAGGTGCTGGAAGTGCTCAAGCGCAAGCTCTGCTCCGTTGTGGGCTCTGACTCGGGTCGCGGATACGGCGCCTGCAAGGACATGAAACTGCAGCAGGCCACGTCTCGACATGCGCTAGGCGAGTTCACGCCGGTGCAGAATATCTTGACCAGATTCATTCCCAAAACGGCGTGGAAAGCTCTGGAGAAAGCCTGCAAAGGCTGCCGAAGGCCTTTGGTCAGGCAGTTCGGGCGATCAGATCAGCGCTGCGAAACCCACGCATCAAAGATCAAAGGACAGCACCGGAACAAAATGGGAAGGCAGAAATTAGTCTGCATGCCAAGTGAGCACACGGATCCGCTAAGCGCTTTGTGGCTCGGCACCGATCCTGGATTGGTATATTGCTCTGAGAGCATTGGCCACGTTTCGCAAAGGCGTAGAGGACGGAGTCAGCCCAGCAAGCGCCTTCACAGACTTCTTTCGGTTGCACGCCTGACGGCCTCAGAACGCTTCCAAACATATGTGGATTTTCACTCAGCGCACAACAATATGCGCCCTGCCCATGGCATGTGTTCATACGAGGTTTATGAGGTTCAAACACTTTGGACTTCTGAACCCAACCAACAGCATCATGTTAGCACAAGTCCTGAATGTAAATGCCGTAAAGCCCATATGCTTTCAGCCACGTCTACTCCATGGATAGTTAAGCAACCTGCAAGTAGTGCACGCAACACCTGCAATACCAAATGAATGTGGGCAAACGTCGGCGGTTGTGCCTAAACCCTGCATACGGTGACCCCTAAACCTTAAACCCTGCAAACTCCGCACACTAACACCCCAAACCCTTGAATTCTAAAAGCATAAAAGGCCGGCCAATGCATCCAACCAGTAGACCTGGCTCGCGCACAAGGGCATCAGGCGGTGGCCGACGCTCGGTGTCCTTTTGGGTTAAGACTTACGACTTTGTTGTTGCGGGGCGCTTGAGGTTTTGGAAAACCGGTCCGAAGTTTGTTCTGTCGCCCTGTGATTGTTGCATCGTGACCCTCGCCTTCGCAATGTGCGTGCCTAGTAATACAGCTGCATTTCTATGAGGAAGATTGCGGCGATGCATCTGGATGTGGGTCATGCTGACGATAAATCATTACGGCGATGATGATGAGATGTTGATGATGTTGATGTTGATGATGATGATGATGATGTCGTGAAGTTTGTATCCGCGTATTATCATCCCTTTGCTGCTTGGTTTCCGTCCCAGGACTTCCTTTTGGAAGCCGCCGGCGATGAGTTCTTTGCTGTGTAAGCTTTGGCAGAATGCGAGACGAGGCCCGGTCAGGGTGATAGTTCAATCCCTGTTCCTGTAAAGGTATATATATATATATATATNNTATATATATATGTATGTATGTGTGTCCGTATTTATCTTCATTTATTCCTCTTTTTGAGCTATATATCAAAGGTAGCTACAAAGGCCTTACAAGGGTAACTGCATGACAAAGGGTGCTGCAAGGGTTCCTTCAGAGTTGCTTCAAGGGAGCAGGAAAGCTTTGCCCATATTCGTTCCCTAGATTAGGAATAGCAACGGTGTTGGGGTGTTTAGGGTTGGGGAAATTTGATTTATGCAGGTCTTTAGGGTATGGGGTTCAAGAGTCGCGGAGTAAACTTAAGGGTTCAATGGGCTAAGGCTCCGCATATGTTAAACATGGCCGGTGGAAGCTCCACTGGAAAGCAACCTTCAAGAATGCTTGACTGCCCAACAGAAATAGCCATGTGAGCCTCAAGAATCAGCTACCGCGAGAAGCTGATCTTTGCCAAATCCCAGCATATCTACAAGAATCCTGATTCCTTCGACGTCTCAATCCGTACAGAACCCCTCATTGTAGCAACGGTTTATAGAAGCCCTTTTCATTGCTGCTCCTATCTTCGAGACTCCACAGTCCTGGTCAAGTTTCAGATTCCTTGCAGATGGTTTGGTTTAGGGTTTAGGGCAAAGTTTCGGGCGTTTATCGGCAATCACAAGTTCTGGATAACTTGTGGGCCTAATAGCCCCGGGTTCTCCGGGTTCCCCAAAACGCGAGCGTCCTAAGATCCAACAGCCCTACTTGGAGGATCATGGGACTTAGTAAGTAGGGTTATAAGTCCTTTAATTGGGGTTATAAGTATAGTTACCTTAGTTATAACCCTACTTACTAAGTCCCATGATCCTTTAAGTACGCTAGACACTA